ATACGAATTTCCATGTGAGTGCGCTGGCGCCTAGTATGCTGGACAGATCTTTATCAAGGTGCAAATTCTCCTCGAAGATGGTGGAAATGTAGGTGGAGATCAAATTTCCTCCGCACATTTGCTGGAAGAATTGGATGACAAGACAAAGGGCGAACCGGTACAGTAGACGTTCTTTATCATCGCCCGTAAATAGCTCTCGTAGGGTGAAGCTCTTGAATTGCTCTGTGAGCTCCAGCGATGACTCAATGCTCGCAATTTCCCTTTGGACCATGTCATCGTCGATGGGAAGACCCCTGTACGCCGCTAAACTGTGAGCTGCTTGGTCCCTCTTGGATACCATAACTAGCCATCTTGGTGATTCCGGAATCATAAATAACGACCCGAGGATAATCAGGGGAAAGGCAAGAGCCAAGGCTAATGGGACACGCCACTGGGTTTCACCCGCCGTCTTCCCGAACCCATAGGAAACCCAGTTCGTGATCACGAAGCCTAGGACCATACAGATCCCATCTACTACCACATGCTGACCACGATGCTTTGCAGAACTGCATTCAGCCTGCCATACTGGTACAGTGGCGCTCAGTTGCCCGACCCCGATGCCAAGAATGACTCGACCCAGGGTGAACTGAATGATGCTATAAGAAGATGCCTGAAGCAGCTCCCCAATGATCGTAAGAATAGTAGCCATAAAGACAGTTCTTCGCCGGCCGAAGCGGTCACCGATATGCGCACACGCAAGCGCCCCAAGAAGGCCTCCCAGTTGATAAGAGGCAATGACTGCACCTTTCCTCGTTGAGTTTCTCTCCTTAATGGCACCATGGGTGTTAACCGTGTCAATCTCTGGAAATGTGGTTACCCTACAGAATTGATCAGCCGAACCAAATCTTCCAATAACATCTTCAAGGGGTGAGTTACCATGACTGCAGACTGGCAAGGGGTGCTACTCCGGCCTGGTTGTATCCGTAGGTAATGAATGCGGGAGCTACCGTGAGAAGGACCTGTGCGAGGTGGAGCGACTTTCCACGAAGCATAGTGAATGGTGTCAGTATCAGCTGCCTGTCAAGTATGATGCTGATCAGATTGAGCCAAGGATGTCAATGCATTTTATATCATGTCAGAATTTTTCTAGAAATCCGGGGACCCCGCAATATGCTTTGGCCATGCCATTCAGGGCTGAAAGACATGGACTTTGCTAATGGAGTCCCAGTCCAAGCATTCGCTTAACTGTGAGTCTTCTTACCCCAGTTTTCGTGTGCGGGGATTGAATAAGCCGCCACTCAGAGGTGTACGATTGTGTCCTCCCGCGGAATCTAAGATCCCGTGGCGCAAAATGGGCTAACTCCTTGCCGGCTAAAATCATACAGAATTTTGCTTGTACATTCGGAGCTGCCTGGCGGCCCCAGTTCTTTCTCGGAAGATTCCGGTTTATGCACCACAATTCGATACCTAGAAAGACATAGCATTTCATTGTTTATTATCATTGATGCTATTAGAGTACCTGACCCGAAAAACCTTTGATTAATTGGCTTGTTAAAGAAACTGGAGATGTGATGCTATCATATTTCCAGATAAAATATAATTATTATGGGTAACGAAATATAAAGACGTTATATATGATTATGTAATTACTGGTGAATTCATACGTAGAAGAAGTCCCAAAAATCTAGAGATCCATCTTATCTATATTAGAATGAAATTAATACTATAAGATCACTTGTATATTGTAATATAGTAGTCTAGGATCTCATATATATAATTAGTATATATAATCCATAGCAGAATGTTTCCTGTTGGTAAGAGTATGACTATTAATGCCTGTTGGACAGCGGCTATGTTGAAATAACCGAGTATTTTAGAAATATATTTATTACACACTATCAGATTATTTGGAGGGATAGCTAATGTGATTATATTATGTGTATAGTATTAGAGACACTCTGCAGGTATAGAAATATAGCTAGAAAGTAAAGAAATATCTATCTCCTGTCAGAATATTATCTGAGCTGTTATCTAGATCATTGCAGTTGGTTTTGGGATTGATAAACACTATATATAGTCAGATCGTGATTTGTCTGGTCAAATTTTACTATATACGGATCTGTATCAATAAGATAGCTGGGCCCTGGGTATGTCAAGGAATCGAAAACTGATTAAATTGTTGTAGCTATATATTAAAATATGCTATCAGTCCTATTAATAAAATTCATGTGAAGGTTACCATACTCTGAGCTTTATCTCTACAGTTCATTGACTGATGTAATCCAGAGCTATTATCCCTCCTCCTATATATGATCGTCTTTCATCTCACTATATCACAGGCAAGGCGTCGATCTTTTCTTTTTCTTACAATAACGTATTACATTAAGGCCATACCCTCTCTAAGAATTATTCATAACAGCAGAAAGGACAGGCCCTGCAAGGATTTTCAAATTTATAAAAATGACGTATTAGTCCGACGGTGTCTTATATGAACAAATACCAGGAGATGATAACCTCACGCGTCTTTGTTATTTGGGCTGCCAGAGGGACTGGCTGACCTTAAACAGAGTCAAAAGTATTTCTATCCTGCGTGAAAATGCGATATATTTCTTACTGTCTTGTTTAATCGATTTATCAGAGTGATAGATCTAGCTATAAACGGCCACGAGCCACTTCCCTGATACTACAGCCTTTTTTGTAGGAAACGAAGGTGGACGCGACTTGCTCGGGGCACCTTCTATTCCCGACCTGCTTTGATCTAGCCTCATTGATCTAGCCTCATTGGCTGGACATCCTCCGACCATCTATAACATCTTCAAAGAGAGCTAAAGAATATTTCCAGCAAGTTCGGGTTGCCTAACTGACTGTCGTCTCGCGGCATGCCGCGTCGCTCACGAAAGTCCACACTCTAGTGGAGTATAGTGTTTGCTCGGACACCCGTAAATCCGTGGAATGTTGGCAGTGTATGCCAAGCCTCCAATCCGAGTAGGTCCCACATTCGGCAAAGCTGAGTACATCCGCCTCAGCCCTGCCGTGGGGCTAGTCTCCATACTCAACCCGGGGAGGGAAATGGGACGAGAGAGTTCGTCGTGGTGACCTATAGCCCTATGAATACCTTCAACAAGATATGGGATCTATCAGTGGCACAAGAGACATTTCCACCGCGGATATGGCCACCTGAAGGACCGACGAGCTGCTACTGCTTAAATAGTTATGTATCTCTTCAACTACCGCATTATCCCCATTAGCAACCAGCAAGAAAATAGAAATCTAGTCGGAAAGGGTCAGCTCGACGACCTCTGAACGAACATGTTGTTGGCGCCATACGAAACAGCGGATGTCGTCTCTTGTGGATGTGGTCCGACGGGCGCGATGCTCTCTGGGTATATGAGTCGCCTGGGAACTAAGATTCTGTTATCAAAAAAAAAAAAAAAAAAAGAACCTCAAATCACCATTGATCCACGAGGAATAGCACTAAGTGTAGGCCCCATCTCGGTGTTGTACACTATTGTCCACACATAAACTGTCCCCATCAGATAGAGAGCATAGACCCCGCCAACCACCCCCGATCTGATTCATCCCGAACAAGTTCGCTTCCTCAGCGCTCAATTCACTCCTATTGACTCTACATAGGGGCCACTGGTTCTATAAATATCCTAAGCACCTCTTCAGAACGCTCTCGCTGTCTTCCTTGCTCCAGGGTCCGTCCGCCTCACCACTCCGCCAAGCCACATGCATATCAGGGCGTACCAAAACAGCAGATCTCTCCCACAACTTCCGAGCCATGGTCTCCTGGGGCAAATGTATAATAGTCAGCCTATTCATGACCTGGGGGTTTGCCCTGTTGAACTCCTTTGCGTAGGCCCCATCAATCGTAAAGTCGACCAGAGTAAAATCGGGTCCAAAGCGGTCGTGAATAGACACTCCGTCATTTAGTATGATGTTCGGCACTCGAGAGCCAGGCCATGTAGTCGCGACATAGTCCCGCTCACTACACCTCGGCTCATATATTGGGTCCTCTTCCAAGAGAATGATCGAAGAGCTGAGCCTCAGTACAGTAATGCCAGCCTGTAGGCAGCTAGAGGGATCCAGGATGTATAGCACAGTCAAAGACGACAATAAGCTTAGGATAAGCCCAGATAATCTAGAGAGTAACCCATCTGTCAAAGTCATCACCACAGTCTCCTCCCTCCATAGTTCCTCTTCATCTTTCATCTAAGCTTTGAACTTCATATCCCCGCCTTGTCTTCCTCTCCAATCGTCACCTCCATTCCCCAACCCAATCCGCCCCTCATCCATCCTCCATTTACGGTCCCTAATGTGATTTTTGACCCTCCATCCGGCGTAATCATAACACAGTCTACATGACCGATGGTATCCAAACATTTCTTCTAGTTCGCGATCGTTGTTGCGACGCCGACAGTTCTGACTCACTTAGTAGGGAGGTTCGGGTTCCGGCATTGGCTACTTCCGTGTGCTCAGCAGCAGGTTCCTGACATCCTGATTTGTAATGCTATTGGAAGGTTGTGCTTTTCAGTATTTCTTGCAAGTACCTTGAAGGTATCTGATGTTTGGAGTAGTCCGTGATACTGTTTCTGACTTCTATTGGCCAGACAAAGCTTGCACCGTTTTCTCCAAATGTGGGAATGTAGTCTTTAGCCCGAGCACCATTGATTCATTGGGCTGCACGGTGAGCCGCTCTCATCCATTCCTTGCTTGAAGCTTTCGTATTTTCTCTTCTTCTCGCTATATCCGACTTCCAGGATGCGACGACCGATCTTACTGAAACGTTCGTTGTTAGTAGCCAGATTGGAGGTTGAGGAGTATAGGCAAAAAGCTGTGGGGGAAAGCCGTGAGGGTGTAGATAGCTATAAAGAGGATTTGATAGATCATCAAGACTGGGGGAAAGTAAATGAGGTTTCATTGTGTCCTGTACTAACTACCTCCCTGATTTCTCAATTGGGACGAATATACATGATAGGGGCTGGAGAAACGAGGCCGACTACGGCGAGGTTTGTCCCTTACTCCTTACGCGCGGCCAGGAACTTGGACACAAAGCGTTCGGACAAAGAGTAAAGGGACCCAGCACTAGCGATGTCAAGAGTAGACATTTCCACAGCCAGAGTATCACGCAGCCAGTTCCGAAATTCCATCGCAGTCAGCGAGTCCAAACCGTAGGCGCCCAGCGGCTTCGAGGGCTCCATGGGCTCGGCCAAATGCAAGAATTTGGTCAACTGGATGTTGAAGAGATTGACCGCATGACCGACCACAGCGGCCGGGTCACTAGCTGAGGTAGCCACATCGATGAAATTAGCCAACTCACCACTGCCCCCCCCTGGGCCGTCAGCGCGACCCCCCTCGTCTCCTTGCGCGATGAGAGGGAGGAATCGGTTGTCTCGGGCATATTGGGAGTCTGTGTTGATTCGTTCGCGCATCCCCACAACGAGTTGGGTGATTCCAGGGCGCTTCTGACTTGGATCCATCTGTTGGAGAATGGAGTCTCGAAGGATGGATTCCAAGTGCATCTCGCGGATCAAGGAAATGTCGTTCAGTGGAAGATGGCGTTGCCAGTTACCCTGGTTTTCAGCGATATACCCAATATCCTCGACAGCACTGAGGTTGATACTGTGCGCCGGGAGGCCCAGGCTCTGGCGGTACTCGGCGAAGGCATCCAGAAAGATATTGCCAGCAACGTAGTTGGCCTGCCCAACATGTCCCATAACACTGAGAATAGAGGACAACATGCTGAAGAAGTCCAGGGACAATCCGCGCTCAACTGCGGCATGATGAACGTTCCACGTTCCGTGGAGCTTACCAGACAAAGTGCTCTGGAACTCTTCCAGGGTCATTGTTTCCAAAGGCTTATCCTAATCGATATTAGAGCCGGGGTCAAAGTCAGGGGTGTCTTATGAAACACAGTAAAGAAACTTACGTTCAAGACCATGACACCTTGGATGACACCAGCGATGGGGAGTCGAGCTGTGTCGAAGACACGACCAACATCGGTCGGCGACAGGACGTTGCCGTGGATGTCTTCGATAGTACAGCCCAAGCGACGGCAAGCCTCGATGATGGTTTGGGACTTTTCATCGCCCAAACCGGAGCGCGACATGACCACCAAGTTACGGGCCCCCCAACGCGCCAGGGAGATGGCAAAGCGACCACAGACTCCGCGCAGGCCTCCAATAATCAGGTAGGAGGCATTCTTTCGAATGGCTGGCTGCTGGACGGCTGTCTGTACGGGTACGACACAGTCCTGGCCTTCACCATTGCACAGGATTAGCTTGCCCAAATGACGGGACGACCGCATTTGCGCGAAGACATCTTTGACCTTGTCATATGTGTACACCGACCGCTCCTCGACAGGGGGCACATGACCAGCCTCGATGAGCTGGAAGACTTCTCGTAGGACGCTAGAGTCGACCCGTCAGAAAATGTAAACTCGTTCGCTTAAGGGATCATATAATACCTGCTAACCCTCTCAGGTTGAGCCAAGGCCAGGGTCAGATCCAGGGCTCGGAACGAACAACCGCGGTCGAAAGGCTCGAGAGACAAATAACCCTTAGACCGGATGTCGGCTTTTCCAAGCTCGACGAGGACACCATCCTGGGCGCAGATACGCCAGGAATGCTCCAGCATCTCTCCCATCATAGTGTTGATCACAACATCGACGCCCTTGCCGTTTGTGACATTCATGATGCCTGAAGCAAAGGACGAGTCTCGAGAGGAGAAGATGTGGCTTTTTGGAATGCCGTGGGCCTCATGCAGATAGCTCCTCTTTTCGTCCGATCCAGCAGTCGCGAATATCTACAGGAGCACGGGAGCAGGTCAGTCACCGGACATAGGCTTGCTTCTTTTGCGGAGAAACGAAGTGCATAATTCTCTCCTACCTCGGCACCAATATACTTCGCCAATTTGATACACGCAAATCCAACACCACCTGTGGCGGAATGAATCAAAACGGACTAGAAATAGTTAGTAGGTTTTAAAGAAAGACAATCGAGCAGTCTGATGGGAAGGAAGGGGATTACCTGGGATTTCTTCAGACTGGCCAGATGGAGGAGTGACAAGACGGCCGTGCAGTAAGCGACGGGAACTGAAGCCGCTGCCTGTGCGGATCATTAGCGATATGAAGCTCGAACGCATGGAATAGACTGGGTTCCATACCTCCATGGACATACTATCGGGGATGCGGATAACGTTGGACGGAGAAGCCTGGATACGGTTGGCAAGGCAGCCCTGCGAGATCACCGCGACTCGATCGCCGCATCGGAGGCCCGAGACATTGCGGCCAACCCGGCGGACAATGCCTGCGCCCTCACTGCCGAGCATGTGCTCATCCTCATCAACCAGTTCCATGGAGATGGCGATATCTTTGAAGTTCAGACCGGAGGCGTACAACTCTACCTCGACCTTATCCTCTGATAGCTCTGACAGATTGGAAGGGAGCTGAACGTAACGCAGGGATTCAATAGACCCGACGGTCCCAGTCTGCAGACGGATAATGGAATCGGACTCGTGCATCTTCAGCTCCGTCAATGGCTGGGAGCCGCCCAGGGGCTCATGGAAGCCCTCAATGGCGGATTGATTTTCGAGCCGACTAACATGGAGCAGTCCACCGCGCTCGGCGAAGTCACAATCGGCGGCCTTGGCACGCTCTAGATGCTCCACGCGGAAGAGCATCTCCACGATGGCTGCACATCCTGCGGCAGACCCTAGGTCGCCTTCGATATCAAGGTTGATAATGGCTTGAGACGGGTCCTCCAGACGAGCAGTACGGAGCAGACCATGGCTGACCGCGTTCGTTGGATTGCTGACCTGGACCAGGGCACCTCGGGTCACCCAGACCATGCGGCAGTGTCTATCCACAAGTGTCTTGAATCCGTTCCAGATCTTGTCCGTTGCCTCAGCGAGCAGTGCGGATTGGACTTCATCAACAACCAGGACTATGGCGTCCGTGGGGATTTCGGCAAACGGATAGAAGTGCTCCTGGAAGTCATAGTTGTACCTACCAAGGGCCTTGGCCAAGGACCCCAACGGGAGAGCGTCCCCTCGGAACCGCGCAATAGCAACTGTGCGTGTCTTTTCTGGAATGAGGGCCAAATTGGAGCCTCGCCACAGGATGGCCTCGCCAGCTGGATCCCCAGCAGTCAGAACTGCGGTGTAGCTGGCAGCTTGAAGGATCTGATCAAGGACCTCTGAGGGCTTTGTGGGAGTATTACCATTCATCAGGGCATGGGGAGTCAGTTTCTGTACTGGTAAAACAGTGCCGGTGTTGGGCGAAATAAGTTTCAAGGCGTCGGGGACCAAATTCTGCAATGTCTGGAGCTGGGTATCTGATTCGTAGTGAATGATGAGCAGGTCGATTTCACCCGAGACCGTCCCCAGCTTGGAGCTGGCCGGGTCAATGTATCCGACCCGCACGCCTCGGTCCGCCAGCTGCTCACGAGCCTCTTCAGCCGCACCACTATGGCCCAGCAAGAAGCGATAATCACGGAACTTACGGTTCCGTTTGCTCTCGGCGCCTCCAAGCCAGAGGCTGGTCGATACCTGCGTGAGGTTGACCTCGACCACATTCATGAAGGGAGTTTTGTGGGTGATTAGGTCGATCAAGGCCTGCACCTCCATTGTCGGCATCTCCATGGTGGCTCTGGGGCTTTGAGCTGGGTCCTGCAAGAGTGACACATCGGGGCGCCACACTGGTGCTACAGGAGACGTATCTACCCGGTTGATCCCAGAGCTACCCAGCGGCTGAATAACCATGCCTTCGATTGACGCCAGTATCGCGCCTGTCTGGGAATCGTGCAGATATGCATGGCTTTTGAGACTATGGGGATCTGTAGGTCGGCCATGACCCTTGTAGCCGGAAGTGGCCACACAAGTAGCGTAAGGGGAGGATCCAGCCATAGGAAAGATAGTAAAGGAGTCGACTTGCACGGGGACCGCAGGCCCCGGAATTAACGTGCGGTCCCCTTGCCAGATAGCGGTCAGTATGCACTGCAAGATCGTGTCCATGGGGGCGGGATGTAAGGGATAAGACGACTGGCCCTTCTCCTGCTCCTCGTCCCGGATGAGCAGCTCTGATACTGTTCGCTGAACCCCTGGCAGAGACTTCACCCCTTTGATGCGTTGGAACGCTGGCCCGTAGTTCTGGCCCGCATTTGTCAGGCTCGAGTACCACAAGGCCCCTTGGGTCTGGGCGCCCCTCATCGTTAGGTCTTGGGGTGGTACAGCCGCTAATTATGTTAGCATTTTCAAGTTATTCGCATTTCCCAACAGGGACGAGGCAAGCAGGGGAGCCATACCTGGCGCGCCCTGATCTAGGCGAATCAATCCGGTGCAATTTACGTCCGCAACATCGTCCCTCAATGTGGAGATCTTGAAACGGGACCAGGGGCCATTTGGTGAAATATGCGACTCCAGCACCAGCTGGATCTCTGCGGGTAAGTTTTCATCTAATACCATCGCCTTGGTCAAACGTAGGTCCCGGATTTGGTACTGTAACTCATTACGATCTTGGGTCTGGATTGCGTCAGTGGCCACTTTGGCCTGGTACAGGGCCTCCATAGCCATAGAGACATATCCGGCCGCCGGGAACACAATATCGTCGCCAATTCTGTGATCCTTCAACCAAGGATGCTCACGGAGGTGCAGGATCTTGGACCATGACGGCGACTGCCACGCCGTTCCAAGGATCTTGCTCCCCAATAAGTCGTGATGCTGGAACCGGCGGAAACGCCAGTCGCGACTGGGCCGGGTCTCATACCAATATTTGGTGGTGTGGTTCCAGGAGTAGTTGGGCAAATCCACAAGCACCGCCGGCTTCGTAGTCTCGTCATCGCGCGTCCGATTGAGCGAGTCCAGTTTAATGGACACGCCTGAGTTGTACAGATTGCCCACCGTCCGGAAGAGTGGTAGCAGGCCCTCTTTCCGACTGAGCAGTCCGGCGTACCTGACGTTAATGCCAGCCTGGGTCACGCTCTCGGTGATCTGCTTAATCGGCCCCGCTAGCGTGGCGCTGGGGCCAATCTCAACGACGAAATTGCTACCCCGGTGGGCATTAACCATCTCTTGGACGGCGCCTGAGAAGAGGACTGGGGACACCATGTTCCGCTTCCAGTAAGTCGCGTCGGGGATGGCCTCCATGCGTGATCCGGTCACCGAGGAGAACATTGTGGTAGTATCGGTCCCAGTTTCACCGCACGCGATATTTGACAGCAGGAGGGAGTGGTAGGACTCGCCGATCTCCGTCATGAAGCGCGAGTGATACGCAAGGTCCACCTGCAGCAGGCGCGCAAAGTGGCCATCTGCGACAAGAGGCTCCTTCACAGCCTCCAGCCCGTCGGTACGCCCAGATAGTGTGACGCTCTGAGGGCTGTTGATGCAGGCAATCTGGACCAGATCCTGGTGTTTCTCGATGTATGGCTGCACTGCTTCAGGGCCTAGTCCTACTGCCATCATTCCGACCGAATTCATGGGGTGCACCTTGGCAGCATAACCCCGGTAGAAAGCAATCTTGATGGCGTCGGCTTTGGATACGTATCCGGCCGCGTAGGCTGCCGCAATTTCTCCAGAAGAATGACCCACAACCCCTTTGGGACTTATCCCACTGCTGCGGAACAGGTCAACCAGCGCCAGCTGAAGAGCGGTCACCAATGGTTGTGATAGCTCCGGTTGACGGATATGGCTGCCGTCTCGTGACTCGGTGAGTTCGTCTGTATTCCTTACGGTCAGTGGCAACTGAATGCTTTCCTTAAATGATGGCAGTATTACGATGGGGAAATAAGAAACAGCGCGCAAGACGTACCCAAGAGCTTCCATGAGGGGGCCTCCGGAAGTGTTTGTAGGACCGCATCCAGCTCCTTGATAGTATCAGCGGCCACGGGGAATGTCTGAAGGACTTCCTTGCCCATCTGTGGCCACTGGCTTCCTTGTCCAGTGAAGACAAAGCAAATATGAGGCAACTGCACATCGACTTTGCCATGCACAAAGTCATTCTCGCTGATTTGCAACCGATCGGTGATGGCAAAGGCCCGGTGCATGTGGTGGCTCCGTCGCTCCGACAGCGTATAAGCCACGTCCCGTAGCTCAGCCTTGACATTGATTTTAGAAAAGTGTCGGGCCAGCTCCGTGCAGTTATTCTTTAGGGAGTATTCATCGCTAGCGGATTGCACAAGCAGGAAGGGTCGCTTGAACTCGGTTCCGTCCTCGTCATCACTGTCGTCATCCAACATGAGACCTCCCTTATTTGAGCTGTACGACGATTTATGAAACGGACCCGAAGGTCCCATCCACATATCGGCCCCGTCTAGTACGATATGGCAGTTGGTACCTCCGTAGCCAAACGAATTGACACTGGCACGCCGCAGAGCATCCTGCGGCCAAGGGGTGGCCCTGTTGCTGACATGTAGATTCAATTTTTTCAAGTCGACTGTGAGCTAATTGTCAGCCATGTGGTTCCTGTAACAATATCTTTGGTATCTTTTCTAGTCTTACTCAGTGGGCTGGGCTCCAGAAATGTCGGGTTGCCAGGAATCATGCCATTCTCAACCGTCAAGATGGCCTTGAGAAGACCATTCATACCGGCCACTGCTTCACCGTGTCCGATATTACTTTTGACCTGGTCCCCAAAACTTAGCATAATTCCGGCATGCTTGGGGGGTTTTCAGGGGGGCCTACGGAGCTAATCATCAGAGGTTGATCTCTGTTCTCTGCGGGATTAAAGGCCAGATTTATGCCTTCCACTTCGGTCAGATCGCCTCTCTATGTGGTTCACAAATCCTGTCAGTACGCGAAGGGTCAGAAGCATGGCATATTGACTTACCTTCGTGCCCGTGCCGTGAAACTCGACGTACGGTGTTAGACTACGATCCTCGATGCCAGCCTTTGCATAAGCAGCACGGATACATTCGGCTTGCGCCACGGCATCCGGTGTGGAAATTCCTGCGGTCTGGCCATCACTGTTGACAGCCCATCCCCGAATGACGCCACGGATGGGATCGCGGTCACGGATGGCATCGCTGAGGCGCTTCAGTACTACCGACCCCACTCCCTCTGCCTTGGCATATCCGTCGGCTTTCGCATCGAACGTGTGGCACTGTCCAGTCCCAGTATAAATCGCACCCGTCGAACTTGCTGTGACGACCCAGATTCATTAGCATCCCGGCCAGTCAACTGTCAGGACGAGGCATGGGAGGTGGAGGATGCGGAATATCATGAAGTTATGGCTTCACTTACGGTCAGTGGTATGTTCTGGGCTATTTTAAACGTCAGCTGGAAGAAGATACTCATAAAGGCGGGCTAAACATGCCTGAAGAACAGATTACATGCTGCAACGATGGCAGAATCCACATCCCCAGCACTCAGATATCGACACGCCACGTCGACGCCTACCAAACTCCCCGAACAGCCAGTGTCAATTGTCATACTGTTGCCATGGAATAATGGGTCAGCTTTGCACTTTGATAGGGCTTCCCTCTAGAACACGTAAAATTGAACTTCGTCTTGCCCTTACCTGGGTCCCTTGAGGTTCAGGACATGGCTAATACGGTTACTCAAAATCGCACGCCCGATGCCAGTCAAGATAAAGTTTGGCCGGTTATCGGGGTCCCGGGCTTGTATGTAGTCATAGTCTGGATACCACGCACGCAGCTGTCAGTGGCATATCACCAGGCCAATTGTTGGCCTCTTTCCGGGAGGGGTTACGTACCGGAGAGGAATGACCCAACGAAGCAACCCACCTGTGCCCCGTTCACAGTACTAAGAGAGATACCAGAATTCTCCAGTGACTCATAAACGACTTCCAGCAGCAAGCGCTGCTGCGGGTCCATGGCCGTTGCCTCACCCGGAGATATATTGAAGAAGCCGGCATCGAAGTCACGCAAGTCGACCTTTTCGAGGAACTTGCCACCAGGAGTTCTCATGGAGTGAGGCTTTCGCGTCTCATCGTAATGAGTATCAATAGTGAACCGAGACTCAGGGACCTCACTGGAAGCAAGGCCACCGCGTTTGAGAAACTCCCAGAACTGTGAGGGCGAGAAGTTCTCTCCAGGCAGGCGACAAGCCATGCCGACGATAGCGATTGGTTCAGCCATTGCTTTGCTTGTCTGAGTTGGTCTTGAGTCGGGTTCGCAAATGTCTAAGATTAGATGACTTTGGGAAGGGAAGTCGGAATTCTGTTCGGGTTGCGAAGTTGAAGGTTAGGTTCGGGAGGTGTACAGCCACTTTTATATAGTATACTTTGATGCTACTTGAATGTAGTAACTTCCCTGCATACTTTGGCATCACTCACAGAGGTTCTATGACAAATGACCTTTGCTATCTCATCACTAACTCTCTCAACTCCGTAATAATATTCCGAATTAATTCAACCGAAGCGATTCTTGAATGCTACGTTTCCACATGTTCGGTGCTAAAGCGGTAATCCCAGTTTTCAGGCTGTGTGGAGTAGGTCTGACCTGCTCTGGCCTGTTGATGTTGCCCAGGCCGGACATGATCATCACGGCATTAGGGTAGCTAATGCATGCAGAATTTATGCACAGATCCATCCTGGTACGACATTGCCCTCATATTGACTTTTGAATTGCAGCAGATGGGGCTGTGCGGCATTGTTTTCAGCTTCCCCTACTAGCAGCCTGGCCGCCATCGTTTACGTTGCTGTATCGCCTAAGAGCTTCTTGACAGTGTTCAGGCAAACTAGAAATCAGTATGTGTTGGTACTTTAACACCCGGATTGGCGCACATGAGTCTAAGTAGCTCGTCTTGGGCTCTCAAGCTCTCATCGAACTTAATCTTGGTAAGTAACCGGTGAGCATCTTTTCGGGTCCGAATCCAAGCTACGGATTCACCATCAGCATTCGTCACTGAAGTTCCCTCTTACAGCCGGTAATCCGATGCCAAGTCGGCGATTGGACAAAACGACAACTGATAGGAGTTCTGGCCTGCAGCCTTGCCAATGGTTCCAAATGCAAGTAAGCACGAGAGGGCACACTGGTAGAATGTGTGATGATGGCTGCAGGTTTATTGCAGAAATAAAGGAAAAAATGAAAAGCAAATCAAAAAAAAGGAAGGAAAGAAAAGAGGAAGAAAAGAAGCAGAAAAACAAAACAATTGCAAATAAGGCACAAAGAATGTCCGCCGGCCGCCTTCGGAGGTAAGTAAGCACAAAACAAAAGCAAAACATCGCCGTGGCGCCAGCTGTAGCTGTGAGATGATTTTCCGCTTCCCCGATGGAGCAAATTGAATCGTATCCTTCTACACACACAATTCCATGCGGCCACAAAGATTTGGGAAATCTGTATCGAGCTGATTAGTCACCCCAACGCATGCCTATCGCACGGAAGAGGTTGTCGCCGCCCTCCCTGGCGTGCCCTAATCCTCCTACAACGTGGCCTTGGTTATAAAAGGACGGCCTCCCGTGCTGGACGCTCAATCATACAGGAAAAACTCTCATCTGATAGCTGAATTTGCTCTTCTAATATCTCCATTGAAGCATCGTTAGCGGCCAAACTTTGTCAAAAACTCTTTCTTTCCGGGAATCCCGAACCATCCCAGCTACTATGTCTAGTAGGCAGAGGGTAGAGTTTAAGACCCTCGATGGGCTTACTTTGAGGGGAGATCTCTATCCAGCTGAAACCCGTGGGCCGGCCATCATCATCACCCCAGGGGTATGTATCTCTCCTACTCCCTCTATTTTATCTATATACTATCAAGTCTCAACCCCTACCACCGTGCTGGGCAATCAATTATGAAACGCAAAGTCTCCATCAAAGCACCACATGCTGACTACTCACCTAGTTTCATCTCGTCAAGGAGATTTTGGCCGGCGACATCGCGTTACAGTACCAACGCAACGGCGTCACCGCACTGGCTTATGACCCCCGTAACTACGGTGATAGCGACGGTCAACCACGCAACCATATAGACTCTATCCGCAACGTCACTGACTACAGTGATGCACTTACATTCCTCAAAGGTCTTCCCATGGTCGATCCCAATAAGATCGCGTTCTGGGGAGCCTCCTGGAGCGGTGCCGTCGCTCTAGGGGCGGCATCCCTCGACCCGCGCGCCAAACTCGTCCTCTCCGTGTGCCCCATGGTCCAAGATATCAACCCCTCCCCAGCCTCCATGAAAATGTTAAAGAATGCCATGAAGGACCGGGAGTCGATTGTCAGAGGCAACCCACCCTTCTATGTGCCTATAGTCAACGAGGAGGGCAAAAACCCCGTTGGTTTCGGCCCTGCCTACTCCAAGGACGACTATGAACTGTCGCAACGCGCTCGCAATAGCGTGGCGCCTAATTTCAGCCCCGATATGACCCTTCAGTCATACTTCCAGTTGGTACAGTATGACCCTGTGTCCACTATGCGGTTTCTCAGTCCAAACACTGCGGTAATGCTCCTAACCCCCGAACTCGACGAGATTTCGCCCGCCCACCTGCAGAAGCAGATTTACGATAACGTGCCGGGGCCGAAGAGATTATTCTGGGCCCCGGGCCAGCCACATCGTGGTGTGGTAACGGGTGACTATGCGGAGGAGGGTCTGCAGAAGCAGATTGAGTATTTATGGGAAGTCTTTGGGCCGAAACCCTGATTATGCCAGATGGCCGGATGATGTGGTGGTAATTCGACTCCCACAGCTACCAAGGCCATGTTTCGAGGAGGATACGAAATACTAGACATACTAGACATGCATCAAATGTATTCGATATAAAATACCGTTGCCTGGTTAGATAACGAAAGAAAAAAGAAAAAAAAAGTTGTGCTTATAAAAGTTGTAAAAAAAAGCTGATCTAGTCAAAGTAAGATGATCATCAGCAGCAGCAGGAGCATTAAAACTAAATTGACACGAGGACGGGTACTTCAGGATAGTATTGGCAGCGCAATGTAATGCCATCTGAAAGATGTCTTTGTCAGATTGAACTACTATGTCAATGACTAGAGACTCATGATAGCTGATTTCAATTATCACATTGATACATATATATCTATCTTTTAAATATTGATAGGCATCTTTCAATCAAGAATTGCATAGTATACTGACCAAGTCAATAATGTAGAACAAATATTTAGGTCGATATATGAGAATTAGTCTTACGATGGAAATTAACCTCCGGATATTGAATGTTTAAGGTTATCCTACTCCTCGATCTGTCGGTACTGTTGGGATATCCTAATTTGAATAGGGCATCCTTTGTATGGCACCACATGAATAGCCGACCTGGGCAGGGACCACGTTGTAGGTTACATCTGCTTGTCATTTCATAATATCAAATATCAGATGACATATCACACCATGATACGCCAGTTTGGAGCCTTATTTCATGACTTCTTGTTCTGGCAAGGTATATCGAACAACGCTAATCTGACCAGATGAATTCCACCATACAACCGCCCCTTCGAATCCAATACAAGGCACGTAATGAAACATAGTGTCCATGAGAATCAAGTTCAGAGTTCGTCTCCAGCTACTTGGATTCAACCTATCTGCCCGGTTGAGTCTATATCAACAGGAGATGACTTTCTCAAGAACATCAGCGCAGCCAAGCACAATGCATTGATCCCGGTCCTCAGTGTAGGCTGTACTACCAGTATAAAAAGTATAGAATGATTACCTTGGATCTCTTTAAGCTTTGTCTCAAACCTTGTATTATTTTAGATTGCCTGGTTTATAATTCCGAGAAGCTAAAAGCAGCTCAGAATATTGTGATAAGTAATAAGAATCTTGAAGTTCTTTGTAATATTAATATTGGATTCTCAGTATATTATAATAAAAGAATCCATACGAACTTTCTCAGTATTTCTGTTACTCGCCTTATGATATTTTTATCAGAGTAAACACGCGGAATGCCAGTAATTTATTAATTATATATTTGATTTCAATAATACTTTCAATACCTGTAATAATCTACATTCTAGTTTTTCGTTTTATAGATTTAAACCCTATTCTAATCTGTACCTGATCTGTAATAATATTTTTTATCTGTTGTATCTATATATTTCTTGTTACTAAGATAGAGAAATATGATATATTAATCTTCCTGCTTATAATACTTGTAATTTTATTATGATATATATTATAAATAACACTAGATTAATAGTTTTATATAGGTGTATATTAGTTTCTATTTATACTGCTTAATATTATGAAGGATTTTTCTCATTAAAATTTATATATAACTTATTATTTTTTTTCTTTATATCATAAATAAAATACTATTTTAGAATTTTAATTAAATTAAATAATATTTTTAGAAGTAGCAGCGGGTATCTAAATATATTAATTAAAATATGTTTAAACATGCTATAAATGTTTACTGCTTTGTAATTATTTTAGTTTCTAATAACCAAAACATTATTACTAAAAGAAATCGTTTTATTGAGAATATAATTAATATTAAAGGTTTCCTGGACTTCCATGTTTTTAGATTTAAGATGTTTTGTAAAAGTATATAAACAACATATATATTCCAATTTAGATAGTTTAATCACTGCTTGATAAATAAATTATATTATTTATATATCATTGATTATTTTTCATAATAATGATAATATTAACCAACCACTCCACCAGTGTGGCAGTGATGATATATAAAATAATAAGAGTAATATAATGTATCAGTAAATGAGGAATAGAATGAATACAATAAAATATATAATTATTAATCATTAAAATGCAGGATAATAATAAAAAGACATTAATAAAGTGAAAACAATCAACAAATAATAATAATACTCGTAGTGATGATGATAATAATAAAGAATATCCACATAGCAAAAAAGTGAATGAGAAGAAAAAGAAAAGTAATAGATAGAAAACTTTTATTTAATTTATGTTATTAAGACTCTACTGATATAAATATATTTAAGTATTTATAAAATCATACAGAAATAATGCATATATTTCATAAGGCTTTTATTTTTTTATTTTAGATTTCTACTCTTCTGAATCAGGAATGTATAAGACTTTCTCTCATACTTAGATCAGATAACTTATTCCAGCAAAAAAAATATTATTCATATTAAAATGACCCAGTTGACAGGAGTAATTTTATTAAAGTAATATATTATAATAATTATGACTATATCAAAATATTAATGGTGATTTTAGACTTTTTTTAATATTTATAAAATATTGATTTCTTTATCCGAACTAATCATCTTTTAACAATTACTCTATTTTATAAATATGATCTATCTTTATTATTATTAGATAAATCTATATTATTCAGTAACTGATTTCTAAGTTCTTATCTAGTCAACAGGCTTTACATCCTGACAAGTAGATCCTATCATATTATGATATCTTCTTTATTTATATATTTTCTAGTCGAAAAATAAAGAGATTATATCTGTACATATGAACATATAATGATATCAATCACTATGCAATATGTACAGTTATCTAAATTGATGTCTACATATAGATATAGTAGTATCCATACTTTATCTCATCAATCTGAAAGAAAGCAGTAGCATATATAGTATATCACCTACAAGTGAACTAATAGATGCATGAAGTCATATCATATGGATAATATTTTCGGCAATGTACACGAGAAAATTATATAATCTACACCCAAACTCTCACTCTTGTCTATCGATTTGAAAACGTATACTTTCTAGGTATATCAGAGTTTCGATGGAGTAAATGCAATATTTAAAGCAACTACGCGGATTACTGATACTGTAAGTTTGAAAATAAAAGACTAATAAATACTATCTAAATCTGATAGGTGTTTTTCCGCCACTCAATATATACAGTATACTAAAGTTGTGCATCAGATTACATTATAATCTACATAGACAAGAAGACAACCGAAGGGGCGGTGGCTGGGCGGGCAAGGACAAAAAACTTCCAACGAAAAGCAAGAAACACAGCTAATCGCCAACTTACTAAATAGATAGATACTACATCCACCGATCCCGTCCAAGTCACGGACCAGTAAGGATCCTAACAAATCTCCCGAGCTGCTTAGAGGATTTGCAAGAGTGAGTAAGTAGTCAACGTGGACAAAAGTCCGCAAGCACATCTTGCCGATAGCGTCGTCGATTTGCATACGGCGAAGCCCGAAACTTCTTCGATCGACGATAGTATGCAAGTCAGGAGTTCAGGCCTCGCAATGCCGGTCGCAAGTTTGGAATATCATTTGGAATACAATATGCATCGGTCATGCGGTCTCCGACCTCCGTGTTCCCGATGGCCGGACTGTAAGCCCCGAACCCCGTGCCCAGTCAATCTATAGGGCGTTCAATCATGATGTGACAATGTGATTTGTACTTGGTTGAGATCTCCCTTTGTACGTACTTATTTCTTCACGAGCGGCAAATGCATATTACAGTTCTACTGGCGTTGTTGTGCTTCCAGGAATAAGGAAGTTTTTACTGGAGAATGATGATAAAAGTTATGATACTACCAATTTGGACATGAGTGAGAAGGTAATGATAAGATTTTGCTGATGTCCATATCAGTACCTCGTTATTTGATTAACTCTACATATGCTTTTATTGCGGTATTGATTCGGCTTTTTTCATATATATACTCCGAAGTTAGGGAAAGATAGTACAATCATATACAGGACGCTCAATGAGGTGAAAGAAAACGAATAATGACCATGAATTGCATTACGAACAGATTTTGAAGAAAGTAACAGAGAGTAATTCGAAAAGAAGAAGAGGAAAATAAGCTGGCCACGGAGTAAATGTTGGAAAATCCTATATCTTCCCAAAAAGTCCTTGTGGAGTGGTTGCCTTGCTCAGAAATGCAACAATACCCCCAAATATGCAAGTAGCACCGGAGAACATGGAAACCTCGAGGTATCCTCCATAGACATCCACGAGTTTGCCGGCAATGGGCGGACCGGCCAGTGCTGCCAGAGCGGCAATGGCTAACGCCATGCCAAGATACGTGCCTGCATCTTGGGAAGATTTCGTGCAGATCGTGCAGGCCGCAGAGCCCCCGGAGATGATTGTCCCCGAGGTGAAACCAAAGACGGCCGAATAGACAATCAATTCTGCATTACTCTCTGCCCTGTTCCAGCAAAAAGTGACTATGCCGTTGGTGATGCCGCCGATGGCAAAGGCGTTCAGGCGGCCGAATCGATCGGCCAGGATGCCGGGGATGACACGGCCAAAGGTTGAGGCGGCGTTCAGAATGGCAAGCAGGTACGAAGCTAGGGTAACTCCCATACCACGAGTAACGGCGTAGGTGGGAATGAAGAAGAATGGAGGAAACATTCCGAGAAACATGAAGAAGAGAGCAACGACAATCATCAGGTAGGTTGGGTCTCTGAAGGCATCCGCGATGAACAAATTCGTGTGGCGAGGCGGGAGTCGAGCCGTCACCGTGAGGCATGCGAAGGCGAGGAGGGGAAGGATGATGAAGCCAATGATTCGAACGGACCAGCCGAATCCGAGTGAGGTGTGGTCAAACATTCGGGTCAACGCAATTGGGACCACCACGCCTCCGATAGAAGAACCGGAGACGGCCACACCGAGGGCAGCAGCGCGGTTTTTGTCAAAGTATTGGGATACGGCGGCCATGGCGGGGAACTGAAGGAAGCCATTCGCAATGCCTAGCACAACTCCCTGGGCTAGGATGAACTGATAGTACTTGTGGCAGAGACTGGTCATCATCATACCGAAGACGTAAAGAACGGCGGCGGGTCGAATGAGCTAATTGGAAAATTCATGTTAGGATGATGTCAAAGATGCTCCTTTGTTCAGGGAACAGTTAGCTAACTCACCCATGCGCCTACCCGATCGAACATTGGTCCTCCTATAGAGCCAAATGCAAACTGAAGGAAAACAGAAACTGATCCAATCCAGGTGACATCGTCGGCCGAGTATTCTCGAAGTTGGTGAGCCATATAGTACTCCTGCAGTACACCGTATGAGTTCGCAAAGCCCAGGGTTGCGAAGAAGATACATGTTCCGCCCACTGCAACAAGCCATGCCTTGGTGCCGCCATCGGGGGCTTGATCACCAGCGAGGGAGGCATTGGATTGACCTTCGTCAGCTTGTATGTTGTCCGGAGCGCTGGCCTCGACGTTGGTCGTCGCCTGCGTCTCTCCCTCCAATGAAGCCTCCCATTCAGCACCCATGGTGTCTATAAATGACAGCGATACGGAATGGAAGAGAAATTGTCAATGTAGGGCCAACGATATTCATTTGGAACACTACTATATATGCTACAAGCTGAAATTGTGATCAACAGACCACAGGTTATTGCTTTTTTCTTCTTCTCGGACAATCATCTCGGATGGACATATAGCATTACTGTTGTATTCCGTAATAGTATTAGTAGATGCATTAGTAGTAGACAGGAGACGAGTGTGGTTTTTTGTTGAGGGCGGGTGAGACGGAGTCTGGAGGTCCGATCTCCGAAGGTGGTTCGGAACATCAGGAACAAAGAAACCTTTTCCACTTTCTGTGTATTATTTCCCCTTGGCCATATGATCTTTTCCTCAGCCTTGACCACTGCAGTGGCTATCTCTTAGCATTTCTGGGTTACCCATTATCGATAGGACACGTTCCTCAATGTCGAATATTTGTTGCATAGTTGTAATAAGATTCGCCTTCTATAGGTAACCGAAAACAATGAACCTATCTTTCAATAGATAGGGGAAAAATAAAAAACCTTTATTTCCAGAAAATGGAAGCCAACATGTATCTGGTTTGTTTGGATCTGCGTCTGATCATCCATTGGTCGGTGAACAATGCGAACCAAGTCAAAAACATTGCTAGGCAACCAACAAAAGCAATTTACTATTTCCCTGTCCATCCCTCCATCTCTGTTACCGCATAATATGTGTGAGACCTTGGTCATTCCATGCCTTATCGCATGACTGTCATATACAGGTCACATGATCTTCCAAACCCAAAGGATTATTAACAGTAATTTCGATGAAGATACTTAAAATATAGGATTTACTAGAGATAAGACAGGAACCAGCTGAAAAATAAAAGAAAAAAACTAGAAGATTAATAGAAAATTAGTAGAAGATTAATAGAGAAAGAATATAATTTTAAAAAAAAAAATTAATTTTTAAAGATATATAAAATAGCTTAATCTCTAAAAAATAAACAATTTTTTTTTTAATTTATTAATTCTTATAAATACACAGGCTTTATTCAGATATAATTAATTATTATAATTTATAGATTCTTATATAACTAATAAACATGATAATGTCTGGTGTCTCATGGTTTGCCAAAGGCAATGTGGAATTGAACTGTTAATGTAATAGTAACATGTCCGTTCCCAGTTCGCCCAAATGGTTAGCAGAGTTTAGCGTGCTTAGGGGGAAGGATGTTAGACATGAGAGTAACGCTCCTTGCAGCTATAGAAGCTCTGTTATGGGTTTGCATACAAGGCAGATTCAATCACGGGTCATGATACGTCATATGAAAGGTAAAGAACCTAGGAAACAACTAAGGCATGTGAGTGATGCGGCATATGAATTGTAGAATATGTACTTACAAATTCTCGCTTCCTCTCCAACTACCCCTGCACGAAGAACTTCTTATCTCAGGTTGAAATGATCCAATCAATCAGCCCCCCTGGTGCCAATTCTACAATCACAACACGGTTCTCATTCCACCGACTCCTTCTTTTAATCTCTTACGTGAGTCTGGAGTCCTCGCTACCGGCAACGATTGGGGATACTCGGCAACTAGGGGACATCATCCTCCGCAGTGAAGAGGATTGGGACCCGCAGGTTGGCCTGGAGAGCTTTGCCGACATGAAAGGGAAGACATGGCAACAACTTTGCCGGGACACTCAGCGGTGCTAGGAACAAATCCACAACTATCTGGCACAGTACCGATTCATCAATTCGACCATATCTTGCGATCAACTGCGCAACCATCTCTGCTACCTCCCCTGTGGGATTGAGCAGATATCGGCGCAGAGCCTGAATGCGACTTGTTTGTAGTTGCCAAACCATCTGATCGGAGAGCAAGGAAGCCTGGCCCTGATCTGTATTTAGTTTATCGGTGATCCCAATCTCGTGTCAAATGGTTCCATTACGGTCGTTGCTAGTGGATCCCAATCAGTGTTTGATCAAGGAGATGTGCATCCTGTTACAGGAATCACCCCTCTTTCAGGCTCGGATCTGGGACTACCAATTACGTGAGGCATTATCGTCCATGGAAATGTTCTTCTCTAGAGAAGAGGAAAATGGGTTGGGTTGCGGTTCCGCAACGGATGGTCCGTCTTGGAGCCAGATTCGACATGTCGAAGCCTATCGACGAGAGACACGGATACTGAGATATCGCTATGACAGAATGTCCATTACCAGAACGGCTAGTACTAAGAGATCCTACGCTAGGAGACAAAACATCCCTCGTGCATCTGGCGTCTGCGAAGTATCCGAAGGATCTGTGGTCACGGAAAATACCATAGTAGAGGAAAGTTCGAGCGCAATGTGACTGTGTCATTCACGACAGTAGCAAAATCAACTCTTCCCCTTCTGGCATTTTACTCCGCGGGCAAGCACTGCTTTTGGTAATGTACAATCAGTGTGTCAAAATGGTTGAAACTTGTGATAAACCAATTAGCGAGTCGTTGATCCCATAGAAGCAGGTTGTTGTTCGTTTCGTTGCAATATTTTTGGTGATTCCCAACCACTGCAGCAAGCGAGATTTGTGCATACGTACGACCATGCTCGCCGGAGAATAGCGGGTCGCTGCTGAGAAGTCGCAGGCGGGTGAGATTGGTGAATTCCTTTGTAGCCAAGAGGTCACAATAGTCTTGTTTGACACCCAAGTGAAGCAACGGAGTAATCGGGGCAGTCAGGAGGCTCTAAGGCGGCTCATGCTCAGCTGTCAGGGAAAGGGGCGACCGAGCTTGTCAATTTTTACTTCCAGATAATCCACCCTGGGCTTCGGGTCATCGGGAAGGTAGCGTTCCTGTGGCAATTCCGATCCTACTAGTCAACCGATAGCGTGCGACCAGTACCGCGGTGAATGCGCGTTTTGAACATTGCATTTATGCGTGCTTTATGTCACCATGGTTACAGGGCATTAGCAGCGTCGTTGAGTTTGCTGGCATGTGTGATTCTAGGTCTTCGCAGGTGATTAATACAGCGGTCTGATCTCGACAAACCATAAGGCTACGCTATCTAACTGAGTCCGCGCTCACGCTTATGTATCAAAATCACTGATCAGGGTTGATAAAACCCCATGAAACAGTTATGTAGCTCTGTGGCCACTCCTTTCATTCTTGAGGCCAGCCGAAGAGTACTTCCAGTTAGCAGTGTCTTTATCGAGCTACGCTAGTCTACGAGCAGTGTGACCAACACCACTGTGATCATGATGTAATATGATCTTGTCCGCACGCTTGCTGCTTCAGGGTTACATTTCGAGAAGTTTAGCATGGATTCCGTTAACATAGCCGTGGGCGTCCGAAAAATATACAGCCGTCCTTCGAAGCAATGGCCTAGTGGTCCGACGTATTAGTGGAATTCCAGGTTTTGTGGGAAGAGATTCCAGTGGCTGGCCCTGTTGATGAGAAGTAACAACCACATAGCTCCTGCAGCAGACCTCAACCTCACTATAAAGGGTTCAAAGACGTGTCTCTACGCTGAATGAGAGAGAAGGGGCTGCGAAAGACAGATCGCAAGATGAGAGTGACAATAAATTACAGACTGCGTGTTAAGAAGCCAATACATTGGAGGGTATGGCCTGGGCGAAAAATACACTGTGAGATTTGTGTGCAAAGTACGCAACCTGATCCTTCCAAAGGCTCTGGCGGCTCAACTGAATCATAGAAAAGAAAGTTCAAAAGAATTTACTTAGCTACAGAGGATTCCCAACGTAGAAGTGATGGGATCTATCTCCATAGACAATGTTGGTGCCGACCTCTGGAAATAGTGTAGCTATTCTATTATCAGATAACACCTTTCATTGGATGACCTGGGTATTAACGATGAATGTTTCTACTTGCCTGGTAGACAAACCCATGCGAGCTCATTCTAAATTTTTGTGTCACTACCAGAAATATCACTGATCTGAAAACAGATACCACCTGTTACTGACTCCCAATTACCGTCTACCTCTTTCGCGAGATGCGTTATTTATTTTATTAGCTGATATAGGTGCGATGCCTCACAGGGTACAAGAGATTATAGACTTAGAAGAGTGATATACAAAATATAATGTTGTTTGGGATGAAATCTCTGTTCTTCGATAGATTTTTGACTAGCAGAAAAGCCTTGGCATTAAGGAAATGGTTTCAAACTTATACACTGCCACTGTATAAGTATCAATTCAGTTACTTACCCTAATTAAAATATGATTTTGTCTGGTAGATGTATTGGCGATCCAAGGATCCTTCCTATCTGTTATCGAAGTTAAGAAGAATGAGTCAAAACTCTTTCACATTTAAAACATATCCAAAAGGCTTCAACTGATATTTAAGAGCCTTCCAAGGTTGTACTGCATAGGGCATTACCTGACCAAAATCAATGAAATGGTTCTAGGTATTGCAGAGGCTTCAAACTCATAATTATATTTTGCTTAACAAAAGCTTATCTCGGTTTCTGAATGCCCAGATGGCCACGGCTCTCATGTTGCATATTGAAATTCCTCTCAGCAAATACCCATCCCAAGACTAGCTAGCAGGCATGAAAATGTATTTAGTCACTGGTTCTGTCAAGTTCCTTCACCTGCGTCACATCTTCAAAAAACGTAGCGCCATACTCTTTCATGATCTGTATCCTCTCATCCATATTCATCGCAAAACTCATTCTCCCAAAATCTCGGGATATTTGACTGGTACTCCTATACCTCAACACCCACACACCCACTCCATTTATCAGCCAACCATACACCATCACCTTTTCTTCTTCCTCCGTGATATCCCTCCTTTCCATCTTCACTGCAATCCACTCCTCCTTACTTGGCCAAAACTTCGCACCAGTGCGTTGTATAAGATTACAGAATCTGTCTTCTTTATCGGTACTGGGTGAGTGCTGTGATGCATGGGAGCGGGGGACCGATAGGAAAAGTATGTTGAGAAGGTCAGGACTATCTTTGATAAGGATCCTGCCAGTGGAGGGGTAGCCGTAGACAACACATCCTCCAGGATCAAAAACAGTCTATTCAATTGTTGATAGAGCAGGGCCTATTAGTACAAAGATCCTTGAGTCGCGCATTACTGTTTATTAAGAGAAAATAGAGGAAATGCTGATGGGAAATGAGCAGCCAATGACTTATTGGCAGAGAGTCAATAGAAAGTTGAAGATGATGGAGACGAGTATGCTGCTAAACCTCATGTTCTAATAAGGTTATAAATAAGATAAGACCAATGTTGTGTATTACATGAGTTGAACTCAGAGAATCATGAGTGCTCTTGGAGTTAGGCAGATAACTATTTTAATATATAGGAATTAAGAAAAGCTTCCTTGAGATGATTGGGTAGGAACCTTGGTATTACAGTATATATTAACATACTACACAACCGTGTACAGGGTACCCACAGTCAGGTTTTAAAAGTATTTGCCTCTAGCCCCACACCTACTACACCACCTATAATCTAGCCTACCGCCTACCTTATATACGCCATGGGAAAGCATCATGATAGAATTAATCAGATTTTCCACAATACTATATTTCTACTAGTTCTATACTTGTCTATACATGTCTATACTAAATACTTTCTAGTAGGGAAATCGTCACAACGGGACAACGGTCAAATAATGTCTGATAAGTTTTTAAATAATATTATTTGATAGGACTTTCTATTGAAAATATAATAATATAACTTTTATTTCTTTATTCAATTGTTCTGTGGAGTTATAAGTATTTAAAAATAATAGTATATACTTCTGAATTTGGTTAATATATATAATAGAAATTTAATCGGATTAGTATATATAATAGAAATTTAAATTAGATTAATATATTTTTATACAGGTACTAAGCTTAATTAAGTCTATTAAATATTATAAAAATAAATATTACAGCTATAAGTGTTACTCTAATAAGTATTATACTTATAAATATTACTTTAATAAGTATTATATAAATTAATATATTAATATACTTATAGATCCTCGGAATCCTAATCTACTGGAAAAATCAAATTAAATATATTTATTATTTTAATAATATTTACTATGCTTAAATTATATACTTTCAAAAAATATTTTTTCTTATAATATTAATATATAATAATTTATATATATATTTATAGCTAATTATAATAAAGTAGAGATTATATTCTAGCCTGTAAACTATAAAAATAATAATATTATAAAAATAAAATAAAAATTTATAAAATAATATTATATTAATATAATTAAATCTGTGTGATCCTGCTGAGCTAATAAATAATAAAAAAAAATAATATAAATTATAATTAATAGTTTTCTTATAGTTCTTATACTCAGGTAATATTCTTTCTGAAGAAAATTGTTACGGACCCCTGCTAGTCGACCTGCTAGTAAGGCGGACTTGTTAGACAGAAAGCACTAATAAAGGCAGCACTCGAGCAATCAGAAACTTTTATTAAGAAGAATTCCGGATTATTTCTATAATATTCAGGATGGTCTTATGTCATGTGATTATCTACCATCAGATTTACTATTAAAAGTATATTTAGGGTATACTAGAATCTCAAAGTCATGATTAGATTGATTACTAATTTATCTTAGATAGTATATAATATAGTATACAGAGGATAGAATATATAAGGATACTTATTTATATATTTAGTTAGTTCTGTTCTTCGTGTTTAATTTATATTGTTTTTAAGTAATTTATTTTTAAAAGCTTAATAATACAATACTCATCTATACTTACTTATGGATAGTTATACAGTATTATCTAGCTTTATTTCTTTTTTTTTATTCAGGATCAGTTATCTTAAATAAACTATTAGTCTGATATTATCTTGATCTAGTTTAATAGTATATATATTAATAAAGCTAAGTTAACAGGAACAGAGAACTAATCCTAGAATTTAATATATTAAATACCAGTCAGTACAAGTGTTATCTATTATAATTATTTATTATATTAACTATTTCAAGCTTATTATATACTCTGTAACAGGATTTTAGTATCTAAGGAGGAGGATAGTAATAGGATTTAATAATATAGAAATTGATAGATATGGTTAATCAGTTATAAAAAAATATTATAATCTTAAAATAATAAAATTAATTATTTAAAGATTATTTAATAATTAAGTCTATTAAGGTCAGACCACCGGAACTATTTAATAATAATAAAATAAAGCTTAGAGTTTTTTTGATCCAGTTAAATCTATATCTTAATATAAATAAAGAGAAATTTAAGAATAAGATTAATAAGATTTTCTTTATATTTATCTATCTAACTGGAACAGTATTTAACTGGTTTGAACTGTATATTTATAAATACTAGAAAAAACTAGTAGAGAATTAGAATAATAATACTAAGAAAATATTTGCTAGTTATACTAAATTTAAAAAATATTTTAAATAAATATTTAGAGATATCGACGCAGCACATAATACTGAATAGAAACTATAGTAACTTAAGTAGACTGGATTAGTATTTAAATATATTTCTAAGTTTCTGTAAGTTATTCGTTACCTAGACTAGAATAAAGATATCTATATTATATAATTTAAAAAAAAGTTTAAAATAGAGATCTAAGAAAAATTTATTTAGTAAGAATAACTAAATATCTTATAATAAATAATTACAGCAGCAGTTAAAATTAATAATAAGTTATATAAGTATAATATAAAATAAAAAAAAGATTAATAGACTAATAGATCTATACTTTAATGAAATAATTAATAAAATTATTAAATTAATAATAGACAGCCAGTACAGCTTAGAAGTCTGGAATATAAAGATTCTTATAAATTAAAATTAATAGAGCTGGATATAATATAATACTAGACTTAATTAAATAAAGTCTCTAAGAAGGAGCTTGAAAAACATAAAAAAAATTATTTATATTTTAACTGCAGCAAGGCAGGTTATTAATTAAAGAATTATAAATAGAAATAGTAACAGCCTTAAAAATAATTAAGAACTATTAATAAAGACTAGATTAAAGAAGTTTATAATATTACTGATAGATAACTAGAAGTCTGGATAGAAACTAAGCTATTAAATAGTAAGAAGTTATAAATTATATAATAAAAATAATTACTAGTACTAGTAAGCAGGATATACTAGAATTAGTTAAAATAATAAATTAACACAGATAAGCTAACAGCATTAATAGAGTTATAAGAAACTTATTAATTATCTGAACTATTTAATTAATTTATAAAAGTTAATAATAATAATAAATTAGCTCTAGAGAATAAATATTTTAATATAATTTAAAATAAGTTTAATCTTTTAAATAAAGAATATAAAATTCAGCTAGAAGGCCTTGAATCTAGTAAGAAAAGATTTAATAAGATATCTGATATCTTAGAAAAACTTTTATTAGAAACTAGCCAACCATATTTAATATAATAGAATAAGGATAAAGAAAACTAAAAAGATAATGAAGGTAATATTTTCTATTAGTTAAATTATATTATAAAGAAACTTAAGGAGAATCTGGTGTGATTTTACTTAGAATTTAAGAAAATTATATAGTATTATCTGTATTAGGATCTAAGATATTAAGAGATATAGAATAAAGATTAGAGATTATATCTATAGAAATATTTCTGTTACCCGGAGTTTTATTTAATATATAGACAGGATAATATAGATTATCATTATTATTTATTTGAAATTAGTTAAAAAATAAGAGTGGCTGGACCAGACCCTTAATATAATTATAGAAAATACTTGTATAAATATTTTAAGAGAAATAAAAAATACTGGAAACATAATAAATTTTTTTGGATTATATATTATACAGATATGTGTTTTCTATATTATAATCAGAAATATATTATAAGATACTGATTAAAAGTACTGGAAGTAGTGGAAGCCAGAAGTAATTATTATTTATATCTTAATTTTGGTTATTTATATATAAAATATAGATGATATTTATACCATGATATAATATATTGGATGATGTACTTTAATAATCAGTATATAATATATTATATAGTAAAAATAGAAAGTTTAAGATTTTTACAGGAATATTTAAAGTTATTAAAATCTAATTAGCTAGATTAATAGTTGGTAACTATTGAATCAGGAAGATATTTAAAGATTTAAATAATTATACTAGGCTAAATAGCTCAAGTACTGGTAGATTCTAGTATAACCAGGAATTTTATAAATCCATGATTTATGCAGTAACTTAGTGTTACGGACCCCTGCTAGTCAACCTGCTAGTAAGGCGGACTCGTTAGGCAGAAAGTACTGATAAAGGCAGCGCTTGAGTAATTAGAAACTCTTATTAAGAAGAATTCTAGATTACTTCTATAATACCCAGGACGGCCTCATGTCATGTAATTATCTATTATCAGATCTATTATCAAGAATATACTTAGAATATACTGGAATCTTGAAGCCATGATTGGATTGACCACCAATCTACCTTAGATAGTATATAATATAGTATATAAAGAATAAAATATATAAGAATACTCACTCATGTACTTAGTTCTGTTTTTTATATTTAATCTATATTATCTTTAAATAATTTATTATTAAAAGCTTAATAATATAATACTTATCTGTACTTATTTATAGATAACTGCACAGTACTATCTAGCTTTACTTCTTTTCTTCTATTTAAGACTAAATTATCTTAGATAAATTATTAGTCTGATATTATCTCAATCCAGTTTAACAGTATATATACTAGTAAAGCTAAGCTAATAAAAACAGAAAAGTAATCCTAGAATTTAATATATTAAGTACCAGTTAATATAAGTATTACCTGTTATAATTATCTATTATATTAATTATTTTAAGCTTATTATATACTCTGTAACAGAATTCTAATATTTAAGAAGAAGAACAGCAGCAGAGTCTTATAATATAAAAATTAATAAATATAATTAATCAGTTATAAGAAAGTATTATAGCTTTGAAGTAATAAAATTAATTACTTAAAGATTATTTAGCAGTCAAGTCTGTTAAAGTCAGATTATTAAAACTATTTAATAATAGTAAATTAAAGCTTAGAGCTTTCTTGACCCAGCTAGACTTGTATCTTAATATAAATAAAAAGAAATTTAAAAATAAGATTAAT